TTCCAGCTAAGGGCACATACCTCAGTTGCAGACTCCATCCCTGGCTCCGATCTGGGCACATGCAGGAGGCAACCATTGGACGCGTCTCTTGCATTGATGTTTCTCTCTGTCCCTCCCTTCCACTCTCTCTAAAGAAAGTTCAATGGAAAGAAGACCCTCCCATGAGGATTAATAACAACAACAACAACAACAAAGAGTGAGGCATGAACACTCTGGGTATGTTCTTGAACCAGCAGTGCTGTGGTCTGTCGCAGTGAGCAGTGTGTGCGTGTCGGAGGAGGCTCTGTGCGGGAGAGGAGGCTAGAGGGGGCAGCAAGGGTGAGGTTGTGGAGCGACTTGTTTGCCACAAATTAAAGGGACATGCTCAAGAGTCAAGATGCTGTCCTGTTGTCCTAACCGGTTTAGCTCAGTGGCTAGAGCGTCGGCCTGTGGACTGAAGGGTCCCAGGTTCGATTCTGGTCAAGGGCATGTATGTATCTTGGTTGCAGGCACATACCCAGTAGGAGGTGTGCAGGAGGCAGCTGATCGATGCTTCTCTCTCAATGTTTCTAGCTCTCTATCCCTCCCTTCCTCTCTGTAAAAAAAAAAAAATCAATAAAATATATTGTGTTTTGGAGTCTCTTCTCTTGCTTCCTGGTGTGCGTAGGGCTAACCCAGTAGCCTGGAGACCGATTTCATGGGTGATATTTAGGGGAAAGCCAAGGGAACTGACCGCGGAAGGTTGGTGAGTGAGACGGCTGAGAACAGAAGTCAAGTTGATAGATTTTAGAGATTGTCCTCATTTCAGGGTAGAGAGGGTGATTTATTTAATCACTTCCAATTCTTGCATTAAATTTCTACCAAGAATTAATACAAATCCTATCTTCTCTGCATTTTAACCAGTATCTGGTCCCAACAGGAAAGGAAAGACTGTCTCTTTAAGTGTTGACCTAATTATTCTAGCAGTTCCAGGGTTGTGAAACATTTGTGGGAGGGAGAGGCTGAATTTTTTTTTTTTTTTTTTTTTTTTTTTTTACACCAGGAAACACCCTCCGGCCAGTTTAGCTTTGCTTAAACAAGAGTAGGTAGACTGGGTTGTACCTTGAAATAAAAAGACTTATTCGGCTCTCAGGACTTTTAAAAACTCTCTTCTTTTTAAGGAACCTTCCCGTTAAAGAAAGCCTACATTAAATGATTTCCAAACTTTTTGTAACTTGATTCCTTTTCCAGCTGAAGTTTCAAGATCCTTCCCCATTACGGAGAATGCTCTGTAAAACCACAGTGAACTCAACAGATTGATTGAGCGCCACCTGCTGGTTTTATTTTAATGGGCCGCAGAGGTGCTGCTTGGAAATCTTTTAAGAATTTGCCTACGTATCTTAGAGTTTCAAAATTACGAAGCTGGAATTTCAAGATGTATTTTGATAGTTGTTGGTAGTAACATTTTAAATAATCGCAGGAGGACGTGTGCAGGAGGGAGCTGATCGATGTTTCTCTCTCATTGATGTTCCTAACTCTGTATCTCTCTTCCTCTCTTTTTAAACGTCAGTAAAATATATTAAAAAAAAAAAAACAACACAACTATAATCACCATGCTGTACATCGCATCTATTGTAAGAATAGCATTCTGTTTCTTGAGTTGAGATTATGCATTCTCTTCTGGGATTGGGTCCAGCCAATATGGTAATCAAGAACATCTTGAAGTTAATAGCCGGGACCGGTTTGGCTCAGTGGATAAAGCGTCGGCCTGCGGACTGAAGGGTCCCAGGTTCGATTCCGGTCAAGGGCATGTACCTTGGTTGCGGGCACATCCCCAGTAGGGGGTGTGCAAGAGGCAGCTGATCGATGATTCTCTCTCATTGAAGTTTCTAACTCTCTATCCCTCTCTCTTCCTCTCTGAAAAATCAATAAAATATATTTTTTAAAAAAAAGAGAACATCTTGAAGTTAATAAGTTTATCTGTTGTAGTTAGAAATGTGACAGACGTGAAAACTGGACAGCCAGATTGAATCCTCTATCCATTCCATGCAGCTGGCCTTCCTTAGGCAGCAAAATTGATCGCCAAGAGTACCCCTCAAGGAGGGTGTGACGAAAGCAACCCCCTCAGCAAAAATTCCTCCTTAGATCTGGTTTTCATTTTTATTTTTTAATCACCACTCCACCTGCTTAATCTTTCAAGGCCATCTGAAGTAACAGTGGGTGCTTGGTACTTAGGCAGTAAAACGGGGGTCACGTGGTGGAGACTCAGAGTAAGAATCTTTGTTATTTACTGTCAGTGATTTTATCAGAATGCAGAGGATTCTGCTCCAGGGGAAGCAGGGACCTTTGGAATCCATTTCAAGTGGCTTTGAAAGTGATTGAGCCTTCTGTGTTCCATCCTACTTCCTATTCGGGGTAATTTGTATTAATGTAAAAAAGAAAGAAACAAGAAACTATTAAGCCGAAACTGGTTTGGCTCAGTGGATAGAGCATCGGTCTGCGGACTAAAAGGTCCCAGGTTCGATTCCGGTCAAGGGCATGTACCTTGGTTGCGGGCACATCCCCAGTAGGGGGTGTGCAAGAGGCAACTGATCGATGTTTCTCTCTCATCGACGTTTCTAGCTCTCTATCCCTCTCCCTTCCTCTCTGTGAAAAATCAATAAAAAATATTTTTTAAAAAACCTATTAAATAAAGCTATGAAGGCAATTTGAAACTCACTATTGTCTTGGAAATTAAAAACAGGTTGATACCATGAGCTCCTTTAAAAGGATTTCAATTACCTATGAACCCATTCTCCTGGCCCCAGGTCAGAGAAGGCAGAACCCGGAGAGAAAATCCTTGATCTAGAAAAGGAAGCTATATTCTTATAATTCCGGTTAGAAAAACTCCTTTTCTGCAAAAGTCCACATTGTAAATAAATAGGCGTGAGGGCCAGGGAGTCTCTGTAGTCTCTGCTGTGGCCTGCCCATTTTAGTGCAAAGGTAGCCATAGACAGTATGTAATCAATAAAACTTTATCTTTTTTCTTTTTTAAAATAATATTTTTATTGGTTTTAGAAAGGAAGGGGGGGAGGGAGCGAGACATCAATGATGAGAGAGAATCATGGACCGGCTGCCTCCTGCACGCCTGCTATTGAGGATCGAGCCTGTAACCTGGGCCTGTGCCCTGACCGGGAATAGAATCATGACCGCCTGGTTCACAGGTCCACATTCAACCACTGAGCCACACCGGCTGGGTATTAAAATGTTGAAGCTTCTATTTTTTTTTTTTTTAATTTTTTCAAATATTAAAGAATGTAAAACCCCTTTTCAGCTGTGATCCATACAAAGTCAAACAAAGGGCTCGTTTTGGCCCCAATCACCCTGTAGGCAGCTTTAGGGCTATCATTATACCTCTTTCCAGGTTATAATGGCATTTCAGGGCCTTGAGCCATTGGCCCATTTTGTGTGCTGCAGACACTTTAACCGGGGGTGGTTTATTATGGCGAAGGACACTAAACGTCCTACCAGCTTCAGCTTCTCAGGGGTCTCCAAGTCTAACGTCCCCGTGGGACTGAGCTCTGCGCCGTTCCATGTGTTGGGGCGCTTTGCAGCTTTCCAGTGAGGGACAGCATGTGTGTCCTTCGTTCTGGCTTCTTACAGCTGCATTCTGCAGCTACAAGCACATCTGCCTTGCACGGGGCTGTGGGGAGTGTTTTGCACTGTGTCTCCACGGCCAGCCTCTCGCAGCATTTCTGTGAGCAGCCCCGGTCCAGGTCTGACTTGACGAGTTTCGTTTTCAGTGTCGGTAACACGCTTCATGCTGCCCCGTGATGCTCTGGGCTCAGCTAGCTGTGGCCACAGGGTGGCATGGTTCTCCTGCGGGCAGGGCTTTGCTTGTTGCTAAAATGGGAAGGCTTAAAACATACTGTGAGTAACGAGAATTCTCTCCCCTACTTAACATGGCACGGCTTGCTCTAAATTGCTTTTTCCTCTGTGCGTTATTAAGATTTGCACAATACTGAACCGCAGTGCCTTACAATCTTCTGTTTATGGTTATAACGGGAATTAATATAATGTTGATGGTTGGGAGGATGGATGGTAGGTAGGGCTGTATTTCACAGAATATGTTTAATTTAGCCATTTAAAAAAATTAACACATAAAACTAATAAAGGAATATCTCTGAATAGTTGCAGGGTCATGGGCAAAGTCAGGGTTTTTGTCTGACCGCAAGAGGTTAGTGGTGGGGTGTATACAGCAGAGTAGGGATTCCAGATGGTCAGGAAAACAAATTGTAAGAATCCCCCTCCCCCTCCATCCTTATAGATAAAAGAATATTATCATAAAGCTGAATGTGTTTCAAAAGTTTTTATATAAATGGAGGGGCAAAAGTAGTTTAACAGTTCATACAGTTAATAAATAATAATACAAGAATGAGCTGTATTTTGGGTACCCACACCTGTAACCCTCCTTTGGCCCCATCCTGTTTTAGCTGTTAGGAGAGAGGTGTTATCTTCATCGATGTCCCCAGGCTTATGCTCTTTGCACTTGACCGCTACCAGGCCAGCTCTGTCAGACGCCCCTCCCTTGCTGGGGACTGGGTGGGCTCAGCAGTGCTTTCCAGGGGCTAGGATTTAGAGGATTATGCCTGCAGCTGGAACACAGGTTAAAGGTATTCTTCATATTCCTCCTCCACCCTCTCTGCCTTTTTTTTTTTTTTTTTTTTTTTAGATTTGTCTTGATTTCTCCCGCTCCCTCCTCTCCCCCGAAATTCATCAAATAAATATACTACCTGTTATCTTGTTGATTTACTTATTTGTCTAATGTCCTGCAATCAAATGTAAGCCTAAAGAGGGCAGAGATCTTATTTTTGGGTCACTTCGTATTCTCAGCACCCAGAGTACTGACTGGTATGAGGTGCTCAGTCAGTGTTTGTGTTCGTGTAAACATCCTAGCGTGGGCACGATTGAGATGATACATGCGATCGATCTTGTTTTGCAAAGAGAGACCCGCCCCAGAGGAACCTCACTAACGCCTCCCTGCTCATCTCTGCCTTTCCTAGGGCGACTGTGTTGTCACTGTGCTGCTTGCTGAAGAGGATAAGGTGGAGGAGGATGTAGTGTTTTACCTGGTGTTTTTGGGGTCCACCCTCCGTCACTGCACAAGTACCCGGAAGGTCAGTGCGGATACGCTGGAGACCATCACTCCTGGTGAGTATGAGTGCAACCTTCACCGTCTCCACGAGTTCTCCGACACTTACTCTGTGCTCACTGGTATGAAGCGATGGAAACATGAATCAGGGTGATAGAACTCTGGTCACATCTTCATTTTTATTTTTATTTTAAAAAAATATATTTTATTAATTTTTTACAGAGAGAAAGGGAGACGGATAGAGTTAGAAACATCGATGAGAGAGAAACATTGATCAGCTGCCTCCTGCACACTCCTCACTGGGGATGTGCCCGCAACCAAGACACATGCCTTTGACTGGAATCGAACCTGTGGACCCTTGAATCCACAGGCTGATGCTCTATCCACTGAGCCAAACCATTAGGGCTATGCATCTTCATTTTTAAATACTACATTTTAAAATTAAGTCTTTCTATCAGACTTTGCTTGTTCCACAAAAATTGGAGCCTTACTAAAAGTAAATGAAATAAAATGGTGTCATAAATGAAAGGATAAAAATCAGGCTCAGCAAAATATCAGTTTACCGGAATGCTGAGATCTGGGGAAACTAAAGCACATGGGAATCAAACCTAGGAACCAGGAGGTCATAGTTTGATTCCCGGTTAGGGCACAGGCCCTGGTTGTGGGCTCCATCCCCAGTAGAGGGGGCATGAAGGAGGCAGCCGATCAATGATTCCGTCATCATTGACGACTTGCCTCTTAGAAACCAACTAAAACATATTTATACTTATATATTTATAAAATATATTTTAAAAAATACTCATGCAAACACGTTTTACACGCTTGCACCCATCATCTCATCTGGTAGAGTCTGGGTTGAAGACTAAAAATTTCCCCGTGTAAGCCACTTCAGAGGGAAGAAAGAGACATTATTTTCCTGTTCCCCCCATTGACTAATAACGCAGCCTTTCTGTTTGAAGGTGCTCGGAGTGGTTCTGGGCTTGACTGAACCAGCAGGCACTCTGAGGGCTTCCTTTTGGAGAGCCCGGGAGACACAAAGTCCCCATTGTCTCCTCCCCCGCAGAGAAGGCCCGGATGGGATGTGTGCGCCGCTTTTAGCTGAACAGGAAATGAAGTCATTCTTGGCCCAGGCTTCAGCAGTTTGTTTATCTGTAGCAGCCTTTCGTTTCCATGGCGACCGCTTCACGGAGTGATAAGAGGCCCGTGGAAAAGCCCTTTTGACCTCCTGAGCACACGCCTCCTGACCTGTGGGGCTACCAACAGGTTGGGGCTAGATGCTTTGAAGGGGGCCATCCGCAGTTAAATTGTGTTTCTCTTTCTCGTGTTTTTGTTTATTCTGCGTTCTTCCCCTTCGCTTAATTTTTTTTTTTTTTTTTTTTTTTTTTTTTCCAATTCTGCCAAAGGCAACATCCCGCTCAGAAGTTTCCTGGGCCATTGCTACAGAGCTCTGCAGACGGTCAGGGCTGGTTTCTGGAGTGAGCCAAGCAGGCATTTAGTAAGAAATAATAGGAACAGCTAGCCATTTTAGATACCTGTCTTACGTCTGGCGGTAGCATACCTTTGTGCACAAAGCAAACTTTCAGAAAATCTCATACTGTCTGCCACGGAGGGTGAGAGTCAACGCTAATATTTTCTGACTCTGCAGCTGCTGCTTCCTTCAGGACCCCTTCCGTTGACTTCATTCAATCAGGAACAGCCCTCTCCCTCCCCATAACTTAACTTTATAGTTCTGTTGTCAATGAACTGGACCTGCCTGTGGGATAAAGTCAGAAGGCAGCTTAGGAATCCGAATGACAGGGAAGGTCCTGTGCCTTTAAACAGTTTATCTCCCTTCTTTCCCTCTCCGAATCCCCTGGGCGAACTTCCTCCAGAAGCAGCACAGCCAGTTTTTCCAGAAACTAACCTTTTCACAAAGACCCGTGGTTTTTATTTTCCTTTGTTGCTAGAGAACTGAGTGGAACGGAAACACCGTGGAATTGGACCTTGCTACCCTTCTCTCCATTGCAGTCTCTGTTGCACATAAAAAGAAGTTAAATGATTATTGTATTGCATTGGATGTTCTGGAATTGGATATCATATTGGGTTGGATACGCAGTGTATAATAGATGTAGGCACCTTGCCTTTCTGTGTGCACAAGGGCAATTGAAGGGCTCCTGCAAATAGCCATGTCTCCGGAGCTGATTTATGCCAGCCGGAGGTCCTATGTGTGCTTATGCAGTGATCTTAGTTTTATTGTATTATAGACACCATATAACCTTGTATTCAGAGTGTTGATTTTTTTTCTCTAGAAAACTTGATCTGAAAGGTTAGAAGGGTTACAAAATAATCTTAGGAAGCTCTGGAGCCTGATAGGAAACATTGTGAGGGACGAGGCCCGCCAGCCTCATGCGGTTGGATTCCAGTCTGCAGGGAGAGGCGCTCGGTTCTTCATCGCTAGTAACTCTTCCAATTTGCCCTGTTTAGCGGAGACGGATCCAGGAAACCCTCAGTCCTCCAGTCCTCTTTGAATCCTCCGTTTTCCTTTTGAGAAAGAAGCAAGCCTATAATCAGATCAGACAAATTCCAGCTTCATGGCACTGCTCGCTTCAGATGATTCATAGTTTCTCCTCTCGGTTGTGAGTTCACGTCTGAAGGGGAAGTGCTGGGCTAACAGTCAGATGGCTCCTCTGACATTATCTCTTTCGTGGCCTTTGCTGACACTCTGCCTCCTCCAGTGCACAGTTTTATTTTCACTTTATGCAAACAGAGCTGCCAGTAGCTCTGCCAGCCACTTTCTAAACAAATTCTCCCGTTAAAGCAGCGAAAGAAACATGTGTGCCTGTGCTGCTGAGCACGTGGCTTGCACACATACCTCATACCCCTCACCTTCCTCTGTGCCTCTTCCCTCGTTTGTCCCCACCTGTCCTAGCAAAGTAAACCGTCATCTTAGCAATTCCGATAGATTTCTGCAGATACGCTGCTTCTGTACTCTCTAGTTAGGAGTCAGGTGGTATGGCTTCCCCATGGCCATTGCTGTGTGTGTGTGTGTGTGTGTGTAGAGAGAGAGAGGAAGTTGAAGAATTGGAATATGGTCAGAATTCTCTGTGTATATCCAGGTGATGTTGCAGTGCCGTAAATGGTATTAATTTTAGTGGCATTGCGACCCCCTTTCTGGTTCAAGGTTTCAGATTTCTCACCTTTGCACAGGTGTGGGGAAGGAGACCAGTAAGAAAGAATCAGAACTGTTTGTTTTTATTTTTTAACTATATTTTTATTGATTTCCGAAAGGCCATGTCCTTTGGCGTCAGACTTGAACTTGAATAACGGGCTGTGCTTCTTAAGGTGTCTAATCTTGAGGACTCAGTTCTTTCATCCATAATATGAGGGCAACACTCAATAAATACTTAGCTCCCTACTTCCGCTGTGTGGAGAAAATGGCTGGTATGTAGTAGGTACTTGGTTAGTAAATACTTAGTACCAATCGCACAGCAGCGAGAGGCTTTTTCTGTTACAGGGTAAAGAGCTTAGGAGGTCCCTGGGGGAAAGTATGTGGAAAAATCACTTTTCTTATTCTCATTGGAAACGGTCGGGGGGGAGGGATGACTGTTTTCTCTTGCAAAGACAACCGAAAGTTTAGTTTGTTCTGTCCAAGTCTGAAACCTCTGTTCGCCTGTGCCCGTGGCATGGAAAGCCAGTGTCATGGGCCACGTCGGGGGTTTCACTGGGCCTCCCGCCCATGGAGAAGTAGTCCCTGTGTGGGAATGGACTCAGGGGAGCCATGGACGTACAGTTGCCTGCAGCTAATGAGGCAAAGCAGCAACAGCAATTCCCTCGCCTTTATTTTTGTTCTCATCACAAAGATATATTTTTTAAAAATATACTTTTACTGGAGGCCCAGTGCATGAAAATCAGGCATGGGTAGGGTCCATCAGGGCCGATCGGGGCCTTCTGGCTGCTGGCCTGGGCCTTCCTTTGTTCCATGCCACCCCCTGGTGGTCAGCGCATGGCATAGCGAGCAGTTGAACTTCTGGCCTCTCAGTTGAACTCCCAAGGGGACACTTTGCATATTAGCCTTTTATATATATAGATTGATTTCATAGAGGAAGGGAGAAGGATAGACAGAAACATCAATGATGAATCCTTGATCAGCTGCTTCTGGCACGCCCCTTACTGGGGATTGAGCCTGCACCCCGGGCACGTACCCTTACCGGGAATTAAACCATGACCTCCTGTTGGTCAATGCTCAACCTCTGAGCCATGTCAGCTGGGCAAGCTTTCATTTTCTTAGTTTGTCCAGATTGAACAGCCGCAGTTCAGTCTATTATATATTGAGATACTCAGACTGTCCAGTGCGTGTGGTGACAGCTGAGATGTGATTGTCTGCTGTTTGCCAAGGGATGACTTCGTACTTGCAAACAACGGAGCTGGACATGGAGGTTTAAGAAGCTTGGAAGATGGCCGTCAGAGTCCAGGGAAGGGGAGGGGCGTGTGGGAAGCGAGCTGGCAGATCATTGCAAGAAGGACAGGGAGGCCACGCATGTCCTTCCAGCGGGAGGACGCTAACTGTCCTGACGTGCGCGTTCTGCGTGTTTTCTCAGGTCACGACTGCTGCGAGACGGTGAAGGTGCTGCTGTGCGCCTCCAGAGAGGGCCACCCCGTGTTCGTGGTGGCGGAGGGGGCCTTTGCCTTCATCCAGGACGAGGCGTACGACGCGGCCCAGTTCCTGGCCACCAGCGCCGGGAACCAGCAGGCGCTCAACTTCACCCGCTTCCTGGACCGCTCGGGACCTCCGTCCACAGACGTGAACGCCCTCGATGAGAAGGTGGCCCTCGCGTTCCGACACCTTGAGCTGCCAGCGGAGTGGAACGTGTTGGGGGCCAATCAGACTCTGCAGGGTAAGAGCTTAAACGACACCCGCCCGCCCCCCAAAGACACGCTGAGTCCAGGATCCTTACAGGGCTTTTTGTTTTGTTTGAATTCTCACCCGAGAGTATTTTTTTTCCATTGATTTCCAGAGAGAGTGAAAGGGAAGGAGGAGAAGAGAGAGAGAGAGAGAGAGAGAGAGAGAGAGAAAGAAATCAATGAGGGTGACACATCGATTGGTTGCCTCCTGCACTGGCCCCGGAGCTGGGAACCTGCAACCGTCAGGAATCGAACCCGAGATCCTTCAGTCCATGGGCCAATACACAAAACAACAACAAAGAAACCCCCACACGGATACTCCTTAGTCAGATAAGGGTTTCCCACGGAGTTATTCTTTTTTTTTATTTAATATATTTTATTGATTTTTTTACAGAGAGGAAGAGAGGGGGATAGAGAGAGTTAGAAACATCAATGAGAAAGAATCATCGACCAGCTGCCTCTTGCACACCCCCCCCCACTGGGGATATGCCTGCAACCAAGGCACATGCCCCTGACCGGAATCGAACCCGGGACCCTTCAGTCCGCAGACCGACGCTCTATCCACTGAGCCAAACCGGATTCGGCCGGAGTTATTCTTGTAGCAGGTGCCATCAGCTGGATGTCATGGTTTTATATACAAATGTAAATGAAACAGTCTAAGCCAGTTCCCCGCCCTGAGTTCAAATCCAGCGGGGAGATTGAGCAGTGACACGGCTAGAGGCAGACATGTTTTCCTGTTACTGAGAGAGCTAGGCTGGAAGACTGACATCAGACCTCCCGCCCGAAGGATTTGCTGTCCTTTCTACCTCATCTCAGAGAGCTGGACAGTCACAGGACTGCCCTTCAGCGTCCGCCCAGCTTTGGTGACCGTGTTATTTAGGGAGAGCAGGCCAGAAGTCACCCCCACTGCAGGTAGCAGGTCCTGAGGAGGGGTGCCCAGAGGGGGCTGAGCCAGGGGCATGCTCCGTTTCTGCTCCTACAGGCCCATCAACCACACGCAGTCTTCCTCCCATGACTCCGGGAAAGCTTGGGGAGAGGTGTTAGCCAGCTTTGCCTCTCTCGCATTCACTGACTTTAGCAGTTAGACCTGTGATCACAGCAGAAATGCCGCCCCCTACCCTCAGGAACTTCCTGGACATGCCAAGGCCGTCCTGCCCATTTAAATTTGTGTATATGTATATATATATATATCTGCCTTTGAGTCAATAACTGAGAGCAGGAATCTGATCTCAGGAGCTAGATTCGAATTTTGCAGTTTTAACTGTTCAATCAGCTGTGGATTAGAATCTCCAAAGACTCATTATTTTAAGGGCAGAGCGGCTTCAGTTGAGAGGGTCTTGCTTACTGTCCCAGGATGAATGTACACCTCGACATTCTGCTCACTTTTTGAGTTGTACCTCTAATACCTTTTAAGATTTTTAAAAAAATTTTTTTTGTATTTTTAAATATATACTTTATTGATTTTACACAGAGAGGAATTGAGAGGGATAGAGAGTTAGAGACGTCGATGAGAGAGAATCATCGATCAGCTGCCTCTTGCACACCCACTACTGGGGATATGCCTGCAACCAAGGTACATGCCCTTGACCTGAATCGAACCTGGGACCTTTCAGTCTGCAAGCCGACGCTCTATCCACTGAGCCACACCGGTTTCGGCACTTTTTAAAAGTTGTTAAAAGAAAGAGGGTACCAAGTGAGCTTGTGGCCCGGGATCATGAAACAGGTAACTAGGGCGCTTGTTACATAACAGGACTACTTGCTGTTAAAAGCGAGGGTGTTTACTGGTATTCCAGCTTAATGCTTGTACAAAGGAGGCATGTAATCCTCATACTAATTGTTTGGATGCAGAGCTTTTAAATTTTTTTTTTTTTTTCCCCAGGTCAGTGGCTCCTTTTTAAAACAGCTCAGATTTCTCCTGTGGGGGGAAAAAAATTCATATAGGCCTGCCGAAATTTACATATAATTTCAGGGATTCATAGAGCTGCCTTGAACCGCAGGAATGAACGTGAAATTAAGAACTTCTGGTTTAGCTTCTGTGGAATCAATTTGTTTATATCCTGGCTCCATTGCAAGTACTTGTACAGAATACTAATGTGTTTTCTCAGTTTCTTCACGTATAAAGTGGAGGAAAATGCATTTGGCTAGTGTGCGCTAGTTAGCAGAGCTGAACATTTTGAATATACCAGGACCAATATGCAGTAATCTTTTATTATTATTTTTTTAAGTATATTTTTATTAATTTCAGAGAGAGGGGGAGAAAAATAAAAACAAATGATGAGAGAGAATCATTGATCGGTTGCCTCCTGCACGCCCCCTACTGGGGATGGAGCCCACAATGCGGGCATCTACCCTGACCAGAACCTGCGGACTGAAGGGTCCCGGGTTCGATTCCGGTCAAGGGCATGTAGCTGGTTGCAGGCACATCCCCAGTGGGGGATGTGCAGGAGGCAGCTGATCGATGTTTTTCTCTCATCGATGTTTCTAACTCTCTCTCCCTCTCCTTTCCTCTCTGTGGAAAAATCAATAAACTATTAAAAAAATATATAAAAGACTGCTGAGGGATTTTTCTCTTCACAGAGGACTGCTACCATCTTGACTCCAAGACAAGCAGTTTCCAGCAATGGCAGGACCTCAGCTCCTCAGGCTTCGCTGCCTGTCAAACCTTGATTCTGTCGCGAGATTACAAGTGTCATTTTCCCAAGAGCCCACGGCTCACACCGGCCTTTTGTTCTCCTTCCCCGCGGGGTGTCGATTGCCTGCGTCATACGAGCTTCAGGTGTACTTGAGAGGCGGCTCAGCATAGCAGAAAGAATGTGGACATTGGCGTCTCCTAGAGATTCAGAAATTACTGTTGCTGGGCCTCTGGGTGGATTGATGGGGTGAGAAAAGTACACATAGGCACTGATTACTGTTGTTCACAGAACCTGCAGCACTTGGCTTGTTTGAAACTCTGAACTTGAAGAAGATGCAGCCAGCTAGCATTTCAGAGCTGAATGTCCACCGGGCACATCAGCTCGCTCTGCACATCTGGGCACGTGGGTACGGGAGGTGCTTCCAGCATATGAGCAGATAGAAAGGGGGACTCAGGCACTTCCTACACTTTCTCTGTGGGTAACAGCTGGGGCTACATAGGGAGCTTTCCAATGGGTGGTAACCAGGAAAACCAACCAGCCAACATACAGCCTACAAAATAACATTACAGCATGAAGGAAATGGGACGATATAATGATGTTCAGAGGGAAGGTCCTCCGAGTATAATTTTCTTTAAGAAACCCAAGAAAAATATAGAGGAGCTTTTTTCCCCGTTTGTCCTTGAAAAGATCGAAGAAGGCAGACTTCTAATGAAATCAGAGAAGGAAGCAGCAAGGAGAAAAATAGGTTTAATGAGTACGTCAGTCAGGTTTCAGCCAGGGAATCAGAACCATTACAGGAACAGATATGTATTAAGATGTATTACAGGGAGCCCAGCCGTATGGCTCAGAGGTTGAGCTTGGACCTACGAACAAGGAGGTCAGGGTTTGATTCCTGGTCAGGGCACATGCCAGGGTTGTGGGCTCGATCCCCAGCAGGGTGTGCAAGAGGCAGCTGAGTCTCATTGATGTTTCTCTCTCTCTCCCTCTTCCTTCCTCTCTGAGATAAATATATATTTAAACATTTTTTATTATCAGGAATAACTTGCGTGATTGTGGGGGCTAATTAAGCAAGCCCCATGTTTGTAGGGGAATAGAAGGTCACGGGCAGGCAAGCTCAGACTCAGCAGCGTGAGCCAGAGGGTGGTCCTCGGACAGCAGGAAGGGGAGACGGAGCAGGATGGAGCTCTGGAGCAGGGACCCTGCCAGCCGCCTCCCAGAGGCCGTTCTCTCTCCTGGGGAAACTCGCCTTCCCACTGCCTCAGGCCCACCCCGATTACCCAGGATCTCTTCCTGATTCAATGAGCTGATTAGGGGCTTTAATTAAATCTGCAGAAAAACCATCGCAATGAGGGCAGAGATGGATAGGAATTGGCAGACACGATGTGAGGACATCCAGAATCCCATGGAATTGGAATCTAATCCAATTCAGACTGGGACAGAGGACCCCATTGACATCATAGGAAATGCAGTTAGCGATCCGAAAACACAGCTGAGCAACTCTCAGGATTGAGGAAAAATACAAAGGAACATCAGAGGGAAATACATAGACACAGAGAGGAAAGAGAGATGAATCCTAAACTGTAGGTTTAAACCAGCGTTGAAACTGATAAAAAAAAAAAAAGGAGGAAATCAATAACTCTTCCCATTGGATCCCCATGTTGGAACCTGCATCCACTTTTTAAAGAATGTGTATATTTTTATTGGTTTCAGAGAGGAAGGGTGGGGGAGGAGAGAGAGGAAAAATATCCATGATGACAGAGAATCATTGAACGGCTGCCTCCTGTGCTGGGGATCGAGCCCCCAACCCAGGCATGTGCCCTGACCGGGAATCGAACCGTGACCTCCTGCTCCATCGGTAGCCTCTCAACCACTGAGCCACACCTGCTGGGCCACCCACTTTTTCTTGGTAGCGAGAAGAATGTATGTGCTGGGCCGCCCTTACAAATTGGGTGCATTACGTTGGAATGTAGAAATGGCTTGATCCTCTTGTGGAACTATCTCCCATCGGAGATTTTACGTCTCATCGCTTTTTCTAACTTTCTTTTGTTTTTCCCCCGAGACCCGTTTTTCCTCTGCCACTGCAGAATTGTTCCTGTTGCATGCCGTGGCCTTCACTTGAGGATCTCAGGTCCTCGGAGGTCGTGGTGCTCGCCTAACTCGTCTTTCTGCGGGTTTGCCGTCGTTTCTCATGTTCTCCTCTCGCTTCTTCTCATCCCCCCCGCCCCCCCCCCCCCCCCCCCCCCCCCCCCCCCCCGTCTGCAGATGGAGGCCCTCGAGAGACTCTGATGCACTTCGCCGTGCGGCTGGGGCTGCTGAGGCTGGCGTGGCTCCTGTTGCAGAAGCCAGGCGGCCGCGGAGCGCTCAGCATCCACAACCAGGAAGGAGCGACACCTGCGAGCTTGGCCCTGCAGAGGGGTTATCACAAGTTGCACAAGCTTCTAACCGAGTAAGTGCTCCCTCCCCCCCCCCACCCCTTCCCTGCACTCCCCTCCCTGCAACCCCACCCCTGATTCCTGCTTGTACCACCCACTTGGCATCTCAGAGTGTTTGCCAAATGAGAGCCGCCTTGCCTCCCGCTGGAGTCTCTGTAAGCCTGCTCCTGTCTCGCCGTGAGAGGGACGCAGTAAGTCACATCTCCGCTCCCCTCTCCTCTGCCTCCCTGCCTGCGCTGCTCTGGCCTTTTATCCTAAGTCTTGTGTGTGGGGTCGCATTCTATTGCCCCGAGTCTAGCCGATCCCTGTTTAGTGCAAGAGGAAGCCGTTCTCCTGTGCCTTACCTCTTTTGTGTATGTCTTCAACGCTTGTAAGAGTTCATGGAAGTGAGTACTTGAATATTTTGATAACTGCATGCAGCAAATATCCTGACCACAAATGTAATTTCTGTGAATAAAATCAGAGCAATCGTCTGTTCGTATGAGCAGTATAAAGCAACCCAGTTGTCTTGGAAATCGCTGTAGGAAAGCCTGTGTGTGTGTGTGTGTGTGTGTGTTTTCAGTTGTCATGCAGTCCGACTCTTCAGAGTTTTCTGAAGAAAGACTATGAGTTAAAATCCTCAAATTCTTTTTCCTTTTGTAAATAGAAATATAAATGCATTATAGTGGGCAACATTTTCCCATTGGAATATTTATAAGACGCAGAAATGGCAAGTACAGTTTTTCTTATTTAATATGTTTTTATTGTGTTATGATCATTGTCTTCTTTCTGCTCCGTAACTGAAGAATGAACCTCGGCTATGCAGTCTTTAGCAGTTGAGGGATCCTTGTAAATTATGTCCGTGTTCCCTAATTCTCAGATGGCAGACTTCACTTAGTTGCAGTTATGGTTGACTGTTTTTAGCTGTGAGTGTGGGACCGTGTATGTACAAAGGCCCAGGAAAGATGTCTGAAGGTAGTGCCGCTCACTGTCACATAAACAACTGTTGTGTTTGTGTCTGTGTTACGTGCCTCGCTTACCACTTTCCCAGCTCAGCCAGACAGAAGGTTCTCTGCAGGAGGCTTTGTCATGGGCGCTGCAGATCCAGTGGCGGGAGGAAGGGCGGGCGCCCTGCATCTCAAATGAACCTTGAGATGGAGACTTGAGCTCCCCAGGACAGTATTCCAGAAGCGATAGCCTCCATTCCTGCGCACTTCCCATCTGGCAGGTGATTGGGTTCCCTCCTGGCCCCCGGGAGACGGGCCTGCTTCCAGCAGCTGAGACAGTGGCTTCATATAACTGTGAGGCAGTCCCAACGCAGTTCCCTTAAACGTAATCTTAGGGCCCAGAGTTTTTGCTGGGAGGCAGGGCTGGTTCAGGATTGCCATCCAAATGGGGAAATGAAGTGATTGCAACAGCTGCATTATATGCTCGGAGAGGGTGTCATAAGGCCTCTTGCAGCATCACTTAAAGGAAACAGGAGTGTGTGTTCTGGGAGAAGAGGTTCGGCTTGCTTCATAGCGCTGCTCCCGTCACTGTGGGAAGGCCACTCAGCCCACAGTGAGAAAGGAGGCAGATTCGGAAACCAGCATAGAGGACCGTGGTGCTGCAGGTCCAGCCCGAATCGGGATACTTCTGGCCGTTCCTCTAGGCTGCAGTCCTGTCGCCTAGAAACAGTGCTGGATCGTAGTTGGCAATTTAAAAAGCTTATGGGGTGATTTTTAAAAATATATATTTTATTGATTTTTTTTTTTTTTTTTTTTTTTTTTTTTTTTTACAGAGAAGAATGGAGAGGGATAGAGAGCTAGAAACATCGATGAGAGCGAAACATCTATCAGTTGCCTCCTGCACACCTCCCACTGGGGATGTGCCCGCAACCAAGGCATGTGTCCTTGACTGGAATCGAACCTGGGACCCTTCAGTCCGCAGGCTGACACTCTATCCACTGAGCCAAACCGGTTTCGGCTTACGGGGTGGATTTTACTAAGTTCCTCAGTCTTACTGGGATATAAGTAGACTTTGCTAGAATTTCAAGTAAGGGTGGATTGCTTTGATAAATAAACGAAAGCATGCTTGGAGAGCCCTCGCTGGTATGGCTCAATGGGTAGAGTGTTGGCTCACGGATTGAGGGGTTCCAGGTTCGATTCCAATCAAGAGAACATACCTCAGTTGCAGGCTCCATTCCTGGCCCTGGACAGGGTGTGTGCGGGAGGCAACCCATTGATGAGTCTCTCTCACATTGACATTTCTCTCTCTGTCTCTCCCCCCTCCTTTCCACACTCTCTAAAAATCAATGGAAAAATGTCCTCGAGTGAGGATTAACCCAGCAAAAGAATGCATGGAGAGTGCATAGCAGAGTGACTGACAAAATATTCTCTTATTGCCCTTTTCTTAATTTTCCTCCTTTTCCTCAGTTTTTCATTCATTAAGGAAAAATTTTCAAAATCTTGAAGTATTTCCAGGCAGCATTTGGATGTCCCTACCTGATAGGAGTTGGAAATCATTCCCAAGTGGAATAGATAACACTTTAAAAGGATTAGTTTGGCTCTCTGACACCGGCTGTGATGGTGATGCCTCTGAGTTGATGGCACAGGGAAAACTCTAGGTCGTTAAGGAGTCATTTACAATGCGGTCACCCTCACTAAAGAAATAGTTCCCTTCAGGGTTTTAACTGTGGAATATTGACATAAAAATGGCGAAACATTTCATTTGTCCAAAGAGCGAGTGCAAAAATGTTTGTCCTCATAACCATCTCATTTTCAATATCAGTTCAACAACTCTATTTATCGAATGCCTGCAGTGCATTGCTGATCTCTGATAGGTAATATTTCATTTCAACCTTATAGCAGCCATTCTTAAATAGGCATTGTTTGTATTTTACTGATGAACTATGAAGGCTTTGAGAACTAAAGGGACTAACTAGCTCAATGCTTTATAGAAAAGTGGTCACGCTGCTGTTACATGCACACCTGTGAGATTCCGAGGCCCGTATTATTCCCTCTGCAGAAATCTGGCAGACTCAGGAAGAGGGGCGGGCGCCGTGCATCTCACTGGGAGAGAGTATGGCTGGCACTCGGTGAGAAAAAGGCTCTAAGTTTTCCATTCAGTCCTAGCCTCTCCTTGTCTGAGGGAAACAGGAGTCTCAGTACCCTAACTTGATGTTTATATTACCCATCAGAGGGCTTCAAAGGCACTGTTGGTTACATTCAGCCAGTCTTTACATTCCATTCCTGCGACAATTTAGTGAGCGAGGAGGGTAGGTATACCCCCGTTTTGTAATTGAGGAAAACCGAGGCCAGAGAGATGAAGCGAGCTCTTAAAGTCATACTTTTAGTAACAGAACCAGGCCCGTGATCAGAGTCCAGCGACCTGCCCAGTTTGGGATGACACATGGGCACGGGCCCAGCGTGGCAGACGCTAGGCCGTGAGTCATGGTCTACTGTGGGGGGGTGTGTGTGTGATGTGGCCCCTTTCAAAGAGTTAGTGTCTCTAGTTTCCCAGGTCCTTCTTTTGACACATTTGCACTTGACACCTGGGTTCAGGTCAGAGGGTAGAGCAGCTACTCAAGGGCACGTATTTCACAATGGAGCCGAGCGCAGTTGAGCAAGATGTTCTGTGAACATGGTGATTGCCTCTTACGGTCCCTCTCAAGTACACTTCTAGTGATCCTTACTAGCCCATCTGGTGCATAGCCAGTCGGAGCTTCGCTTTTCCTTAGGGGAGGAAAGAATGAAGGAAATGTACGAAATAATAGCCAGGGTTTCTAAAATAATGCCTTACATTCATCTAGCCCGAGTCTCATCCGGCTGTCCATCTGTCCATTCGTTCATTCATCCATGCATTCATCCAACCATGCGTAGAGCAGGGAGGGAAGGGAAGCGGACCGCAGGAAGCAAAAGACACATGGATCGGCTCTGTTACTGCAGCCCATTTCCGCCACCAATCCGTGTCCTCAGAGTCCACACTGTGTAACCGACGAGCCCACGGACTTGGGAGTCACAGCCTTGTTCCAATTCCTGCCCCATCACTTGCCAGCTATGGCGGTCATCTGGTGAAGTGAGGCTAAAATGCCCGCCCCCTTAGGGGTTAGGGAGAGGATAAAATATATGAGAATTGATGCAAAGTGCCTAGCAGAAATACAGATGGCAATTGATGCTACTCTTTTTTATGTAATATATTTTACTGATTTTTTTTTTTTTTACAGAGAGGAAGAGAGAGGGATAGAGAGTTAGAAATATCGATGAAAATACAGCAGCCAATAGCCCTTTGGGAGGGCCAAGCACTATGCCAACCCTTTACATGCATTTGATCTCACAATGAACTTGACACTCTCACTTTACAGATGAGGGCATTGAGCTTTAGAGAAATGGAAGTAACTGCCCCCTTTCTCTCTCCCCCCCCCCCCAAAAAAAAAAGAGGGAAGAGAGAAACTTCTCAGTGCTAAAATGTCTAGTGAGTTTGCATGTGCACGAATCCATAACCGGCCTAGCAATGAGTTCCCCACAGTGAGTAGCCTCCTGTTCATTTTGGGGTGTCACTGACTCCCTCCTCCCGCCCCTCAGTTTAGCTCCTCCTGCTCCATTTTCGTGGCGCTGTGGTTGAGTTGCTAGGAGTCCTTGAGGTTTGGCACTGCGATGGCGATGTGGTTTCGTGAAAGACACTGCAGTGGCCCTCAAATGAGGAACTAGGTGCTGCACTTCCTGTCAGAAGGAGACAGCAAAACACGCCCTGGGGCAGGGCCGACCTGGCCTCGGTTCTCCTCTCTTAAAGCTGCAGTGCGAGGCCCGGACCCAGGTAGAATGGGCTTGCGATACTCATGGTGCGTGGGCAGCCACAAGTGAGTACAAACTGGTACCTTGTTGGTCTTCATCGTTTGTTCTCTGACATTCGATCGGACTTCTTTGTTGTACCTCAACAGATGTCTCTTTGAACTTCTCACTTGAATGATAGTGTTGTTAGTACTAGAAAAAAAAAAATGTGTGTGTGTTGTCTGCATTTGGTTTGAACAGGGTATGTGAACATCAAATTTGAACTTGGTTGTGAGTTATCCTATGCTGGACAAGGTAAGAGGCAGAGGCTGGGTGGCTGTTGATGGTTGCACAGCAGCCAGGACACTGGGAAGTGTCTGGGCTTACTGAATGTTATTGTACCACACACATGAATCCTGGCGTTAGGAACCAGATGTGGATACTCAGTTTGGGCGCTCTAACCCCAGTGTCTGAGCAGTGGCCTCTTACTTGTGGTTTTCCTACAGTTGGAAACTCGCTATGGATCCTGTAAAGTTTATGATAACGAAACCTCATTAGCCTACCTGATCAGCTTCTCATAAGTATTATATCAGGCTTACAGTTTATATTATTTGAATGTGGTGAAAGTTTGAAACGATAAAGGAGGTATCTGTGGAAGTGGAAAGTCTGGGTACAAATTCTGGCCTTTTTATGCATTAGCTTTATTTTTTAATAGTCTGTACATCTGTCTGTTCTTTAATTTAACCAACTGCCCTCTACTTGGCTAGGTTGCTTCTAATTTTTAATACTATTATTCTTAAGGTTGCAGTGAATATTCCTATATTCAGAGCTCTGCCAGTTTTATTAGTGGGCCCAGTAGAGGTTTACCCAGTACTGAACCCCCAGAAAATGTACTGGCTTCAGTGTAACCCCAGCAAGGTCTTTCCTGACCCACCATATTTAAAATTGCAGCCCTCATACCTGCTTTATTTTTCTCCGCGGCTCTTGCCGTCTTCCAGAATCATTCCTAGGTGTTTAATTTACCTGGGATGCTCTTGTCCCCCTTGCTACGGAGATAGGCTCCTGCAGGACACGGGTTTTGGTTTTATCACCAGCACCTAGAATAGTGCCTGGCATGTGAGGACTTGCCGAGCATGTGGGTACACCCAGACCCGCCGGCCAGTTAGGCTGGAAGAGTGTCAGTTTTCATGGGAGAATTGCCGTGGGAGAGAAGAATTGCAGTGAATAGTCTTTGGTCTCTGGATGGGCTAGGAAGCAAGAAAAGGCCACAAGAGACAGTGAATTGGGAGCCTGGAGGGTCAGCTTTTGGAGGTCGTTACAGCAACAGAAGCACATTCCACTGGAAGGAGAGCATGGGAGAAGTAGATGGTCAGTAGGTGGTGGTTGCAGAAGGGAATTTCCCAAGGTTTACGTATTAGAAAGGGAATTTTGAGAATTAACAGTGGCAAGGTTAATAGAAACTCATTTTGCCGGGAAGGGACTGTATCGCTTTTTGTTTCTGCCTTAAAAAGAGCCTCCTGAGTGGTGGTAAGTAGAGCAAGTTATGCCATCAAGGGCTTTTTTTCTTGTTGGAGAACTAGAGGCCCAGGTCACAAATACATGCACAGGAGGGGTCCCTCTGCCTGGCCCGTGATCAGGGCCAGCTGGCTATAGGAAGGGACTGTAGGAGGTTGGCTGGCTGAGGGGGGTGGTGGACCACAGGAGGTTGGCTGGCTGCAGGAGGTTTGCTTGGGAGCGCACTGACCACCAGGGGCAGCTTCTGCCTTGAGTGTCTGCTCCCTGGTGGTCAGTGCACATCATAGCAACCGGTTGTTAGGCTTTTATATCCATAGATGTCTATATGCTATAATCGAAGTAAGCAGATATGCCAGTAATGTCTGTCAGACAATTAATTAAACAGAGGTAGTGATATTATCAAACCAAGCTTCAATGTTAAATTTACAGCCCAGCCTGAGTGGCTCAGTGGTTGAGTGTCAACCCAGTTTGATTCTTGGTCATGACACATGCCCGGATTGCTGGCTTGATCCCCACTAGGAGGCTTTAGGAGGCAGCCGATCGATGATGTTTCATGTTTTGAGGTCTAGCTGAGAAATGCTTTTTCACATCCCTGTACCTTTGTCGGCTTTATTTGTACAGAAGGTAGGTATATTTGTAATGATACGAGTTGAGCAAAGTTCTATCTTTTAATGAAAAAATACTTGAACTCGAAATTCTTGTAATGAAGGCTTCATTCAGAATAGGATTTGATCATCATGTTGACAAGGAGAATATGATAGTCCTTGCAGTGGTTTTTTTCTATGTGATGACTTAAGAATCTTGAATGTGCTTCATCCACGTACCGTTAACAACAGTGGGAGTGCCCTTGCATTGCATGGGTGGAGTGATAGGTCCTTCCATACCCATTATAACCATCTATGGTTTTATTAATTTTAAGAGAAATGTTTAACAAGCCTGGCTCCTGTTGAAAACCAGGCCAGAGTCATCCTCCTTACATTTCCTCATTATTGGGTTGTTAGCATAACATTAACTATTTTTAAGAACCCAGATTTCTTTTTATCTTGATGAAAATGACATCCTTAGGGAGGAGTCCTGTAGTTTTTATTTAACCCATTTTCGACCTCTCATGGGGAGGATGGAACAATTAGTGATACCCCGAATCACTGGGGAACAGTCCCAATCAGATGGCCCGGCTGGCGTGGCTCAGTACTTGAGTGTTGACCTATGAACCAGGAGGTCATGGTTCGATTCCCGGTCAGGGCACATGCCCAGGTTGCAGGCTCCATCCCCAACGTGGGGCACGCAGGAGGCAGCCGATCAATGATTCTCTCTCACCATTGATGTTTCTCTCCCTCTCCCTCTCCCTCTCTGTTTCTTTCGTGAGTCTTAGGGTTAAACCTGTGCTGGGAGGCAGCACGGAGCTGTATTAACCATAGGCTGCTTGCTTACAGGGAGAACGCTGGAGAACCCGATTCCTGGAGCAGTTTATCCTATGAAATCCCCTGTGGAGACTGCTCCGTGAGGCACCATCGAGAGCTGGATGTCTACACATTAACCTCAGCGTCCCAGCCGCACCATGAACCCCCACTTCCTGCAGACAGTTGCACCGGGCACATTTTTAAACTCATGAACATCCAGCAGCAGCTGATGGTAAGGCAGCACATTTCCATTTTAAGGCCTCTGTGCCCTCACTCCTTCCCCCAGTGAACCTTGGCTGTATTTAAAACCAAAATGCTTCCCCTAAAGATTGTGAAACCTGTAAATAAAGCCGTTCTCTGCTTATAGATGAGAACTAGCATTGGGTTTGCAGCAGCAAGTGGCTGAGAGAATTTTCATTGGATTTTGCCAGGCTTTTGTATTAATGAAAGATACACAGACACATTGCAGGTATAGAAACATGTAACAGCCAGAACTAAATTTTCCTGGCGTGAAAGGAAATCTGTTGGTTGATCTTTATAAATTTATTGGTTTAACTTTATAAGATTAAATGGGCAAAGTAGCTTCTGATATCGTTGCTAAAGGATAAGAACCAGATTTCCTCAGAAAAAAAGCCTTTTCACAACTTTTGAGATGAGTGATGATAGCACTGCTCTATTTGAATCGATAGTTATATGGTACAAAGATCACCCAAAAAAATAAAAAATAAATAAAGATTTTATAATCCACTCAAGGCCTCCAAGATGAAGTTGCTGCCAGACATAAAAACATTACAGACTCCCTGATAGCTTTGATTACGGATAATACGAACGTCATGCGGGTACCGCTCTCCGGTCACAACATCTGAGAGGCTAAGTTTAGATCCTTTTTCCACGCAGTTGATTTCAGAGATGATTTGATTTGGAAAAAGCTTGGCAATAATTTCATGGAAGGGCACCTAGGGTCAGCTTGTGCCAGAAGCTTCTTTGGGAGCAGGCCTTACTTCCGAGGCCAGCGGGCCAGCGCACCTCATTGTGGAATTGGATAAGGAGCTTTGCATCTGCCTCTCCCAGTCGTGTTTGTCCCAGAACAGGTGTCATATTATTTCCTTGTGAGGAACTGCCAGGAAGGCATGCTTTCCCTCGTGCATGAATCAGAGTCCAACTGAAATGATCAGTTTGCAGATGTTAAAGCTACGCTAAGGTATGGGAATAGTTGGTAAAAAAACATGAGATACTGTCCGGGGATGCATGTGTTAGGAGCATGTAATTTTCTTCAAGAAGTGCCACTTGTTTCTGCCAGCCTCTGTTCTGTAATGTTCGGCTGTTATTAAATTTAATGAGCTGCTTTCGTAATTTTTAGGAAACTGCTACGCTTTCCACAGGAACTGGAAGCAAACTAATTTTGAATATGCTAAGGAGCATAGCACAGAAGCTTTTGTTTATGTATTTTATTTTTATTGATTTCAGAGAGGAAGGGAGAGGGAGAGAGAGAGAATCCAGCTTGCTTTTTATCTTGATCAAAATGACATCCTTAGGGAGCAATTCTGTAGTTTTTATTTAACCCATTTGTGGCCTCTCCTGAGGAGGATGGAACAGTTAGTGAAATCTCGAATCACTGGGATATCATCAGTGATAAGAGAGAATCATTGATTGGCTGCCTCCTGCAGGCCCCCCACTGGGGATGGAGTCTGAAACCCAGTAAAGTGCCCTGACCGGGAATCGAACCGTGATCTCCTGGTTCATAGGTGGATGCTCAACCCCGAGTCACACTGGCTGGGCTCACCTTTTATACTATTGCTTATTTTTATCATCCTAGCGGCTGTGTGGCTATAAGGGAGAAAAGTGATATCGGGAACAGGAGCCAAACGTCTCTGTGTTTCCTTAGATCAGCTCCGTGCCTCCTCAGAAGAGCTGGAATGGTCGTCAGTTTTCTTCAACTGGATTTTCGGTCTTAAGTGTCAGTGACATCTGTTCCCATGAACAGCTTTTAAACATTTTCTGTTCATTTCCTCTTTAGAAAACAAACCTCAAGCAGATGGACAATCTTATGCCCTTGATGGTGGCAGCCCAGGATCCTTCAGGTCTGCTCACCGCCCAGCACGCCGATGGCTCGCTCCTTCCCTGTGCAGCAGCGCCCACGGACAGCCCGCAGCCTCCCTCCCCTCCTGCCGGGCCCGAGAGCTCTCCACTCGGCCCCGGGGTCCCAGACCGGGTCCCAGACCGTCCCTCTGACTTCTCCAGCGCCAGCAAGGAGGAGAACACAGATTGTTCCTGCAGGAAGAAAAATGAAGGCGTGATGAGAAAAGAGGAAGAGGTGGAGCCTACCGCGGACTCTGAGACTCCGTCTAATCCCCAGAGCTGCCTTCAGAGCATGCCTGATTGCGGGGAGAAGGGGACAGAAGGCCTCCCGCCCTGTGACATCGGAAGTGAAGACACTGGAGCAGCATCTGCCACCGCGGCCGCAGCCCGGGGGTCTCTGAGCAGCGGGGGTGCTGCCCAGCCTGGGGTCGCACTCATGGAGGCAGGCCCGGCCCCGCATGTCCCTGCAGGTGGACAGGTAGGCAGCTCGGCGGTAGATGCCGGTGTCCCAGAGACGGCGGAGGGGTCGGATCGCGGCCTCATGCACCCAGGTGCCACCACCCAGAAGAAGGTGCTGGAAGCCGGGGAAAGGACAGAGGAGAGATCGGAGAACTCTGAGGTCAGCGCAGCTGCAGCCTCTGACGTCAAAGCCGTGGATAGAGCCACTGTTCCAAACTGCGTGCCTGCCACCAGCTCCCCGGACGATGACCCGCCTGCTGAGCCGGTCCTTGTGCTGAGCAACGGAGGAGCCCCGACTGATAAAGCTGCCGAAACAGAAACTTCCAGATGTCGTGACGCACGTGCTGGTGGTGATCTGAGCCCTGCCATCGTTCCAGCCGCTGCCAATGGCGAGATGTCAGATGGCGCCCACGAAGACGCTCCCTTGACGGACGGGGCAGCGCCACCCGCTGATCTCACCATCCCCCAGCCACAGGCAGATGCTTTGCTGGAGGAGAAAGCAGAAGCGAATGCACCTCACCCTCAGAGCCAGGACGACAGGCCGCCTGTCTGCTCCCCTCCTGCAGACCAGACCCTGCAAGCCGGACAGAACTCAGTGGCCTCTGGCGGTGACGCCGTGACCCAGCCCACAGCCACCGCCCCGGGCCCGCCCCACGCACAGCCCCCGCCCACTGCCGCCTGCCCGGGAAGCCCGCAGGCCGACACCCTCACCCCTGGCCCTGGAAGAGACACCCCGGAAGATGTGGGTGTTTGTCCCCTTGAAGTTTTGGGTGCAGAGGGCCAGACAGGAGGTCTGAACTCAGAGACGCCTCTGACAAACGCGCTTGAAGCGGGGCCCCAGCCACATGCTGCCGTCACCAAAGCAGAGCGAGGGCGAGTGCCAGAGCCGGAGCAGGCGGGGACGGCAGGCCGGACTTTCCCTCTGCCAGGCGGTGAATCAGTAACGAAGGCCGACGCCCTCTCTCCTGTCCCCTCCCAGAGTGAAAAGGGAACAGCAGCTCCCAGGCCACGTCCCTCCGCAGACCGTACAGATGGCGGAGGTCAGGGCGATCCCCATAAGCAGCTGCTAGAAGACCCTGCAGCTGGCCTGCCCTCCCCCTGCACCACCCTGGACCCTCCGCCCAGCATGGGCAACGCCAGTCCTGTAGGATTCGGCTGGGAGCAGGAGGAACCCCGCCTCCCAGCAGCCCCTGAAGCTAGGAACACGGACGGGGGCTCCGACCCTTCCCGGCTCCACGTGGCCAAGGCCCCTGTGGCCTCTGATTCCAACGGGACCGAAGAAGGAAATGATCCTGTGGTTCCAGAAAGCTCTGCAGCTCAGGGACAAGGTGACAGACTGAATGCAGTGATTGGCTCCTCCACCACGGAAGGCGCTCCTCCTTCAGGGGCGCTGCAGGAAGGGCAGGGGGCAGACCCCCCGGGACAGGAGTCCCCAGGGGCCCAGGGAGAGCACGGCCCGGCTGCCTGTGCCCGGAACACAGCACTTGAGCTCGGCGGCTCCCCGGGCACACCCTCGGCCTCTCTGAGCGCAGAAACCAAACACAACAAGGAAGTGGCCCCACCAGCCTCGCCGCTGCCTGAAGGTGGGGCCGCGCACAGCCTGGTGCCACCAGGAGCGGGCCTGGCTGCAGACGCGGGCCAGGAAGCCGTGGGTGCAGAGCAGAGCAGCTCACGCCCGCCACCGCAGGGCCTGCCACCAGATGCATCCCAGGCTCCTGACTGCAATGGACCCTGTGCGGTGGATGGAGTGACAGACACTCAAGGAGAGACCTCGGTGAGTGGAAACATGGCACTGGATGGCGCAGAGGGTAACGCTCTCCAAGGAACTGCGGAAGCCGGAGGAACGGCCTTATCGCACGGAGCCCGAGACCTCCCCGCTCCGGAGGGCTTGCTGAGCCCCGAGAACGGGATCCAGGTTTTGCCAGGAGCCTCACCAGACAAAGGGGGGGCTGACCTCCAGGGTGCTGCAACCCCAGAGACGGTGCCTCCTGTTGGGGAGAAAGGGGAGCCGGAGGGAGCCCCCCTCCGCTGTGGCAGGGATACCTCCGAGGAGGCCCAGATGGACAGCATGCGCTCCGTCCCCTCGCAGCCCACCGCCCAGGAGCGCCCCGCAGAGACAGGGCCCGCCACCAGCGATGACAAGGCTCCCCCTGCCCCTCACGCCGCATCTGCCGAGGCCGGGCCCCTGCCTACAGGAGAATCCATCGAGGAGGCTGCGAGTCGTATAGTGGATGCCGTCATCGAGCGAGTCAAGGCCTCCGGAGCCCTGCTCGCCGAGGGGCACATCAGTGACATGCCAGCGTCCAGTCCTGCAGAGCCAGGGCGGGGGGCTGACCAGCTGGCGAGCGCTCCTGCAGGGAAAGTGCCCGCCCCCCTGCCCGCGGGGACCCCAGCAGCGGGCAGTGCGCCCGGGAGCCCTGCCGGACGCTTTGCTGGAAGGGAAGAGCCAGAGAAGACGATTCCACAAGTTCCAGGAGCTGAGCCGGCAACAGGTGAGCGAAGCGGAACGTGACGTTAACCCGAGAGGCAGTTCCCTCGCGGTCTCTGTGATGGGCAGGTAGGAAGAGAGATGTCATGACTGGTGAGAGGTCTTGCATTCACTGGGCAAGTTGCTAAGTGAATAGTCACCACCTCCAGGAGAGACACGCCCCCTCCACCCCCCAACCAATTCCAAACAGACCCCGGCTTGATTGCCTGAGTCTGTAGGTGTTCTGTTTGCCACCCTGGGGTGGGGGGTGAGGGGTGAGGGGTACAGTCCGGCGCTAGGTCCCTGCTGTTCTAAAATGATAAAGGAATTTCGCAGGGGTCTGTGTGCACATGGCTGAGGCCTTTTCCCCAGAGCCCTCAGAGACAGCGCCGAGAAAGAGTGTTTTATTTACAGCCTGAAACTCCTTCCCCATCCTGGTCTGTGTTCTAAGCAAATCCAGCCGGTGGTTTCATGAATAACTTAGCTGTAAGCCGATGGCCTAACATCCCAAACGGTGGTATTAGGTCACCCGAGGGGGGTGGGGACCCCCTCCTCTTCCTGCTCTCGGACCAGACCTCCCGCCCCGTGGCCTGTGGCTTTGGGGCAGAGTCTGGGAACGCAGGCCCCTGCCCGGCGCAGCCATAGGATGCAGGATTTCCGCCCCAGCGCGGTCTGCTGAGCTGCTGTCACAGGGCAGACGCGCTGTCTGCTTATCTCAGAGAAGCAGCTGCAGGGAGCTGATTGCTCAGCCAGCTGCCTGCTCCATGTCCTCAGAGCACAGCCGGCTCTGAACACAACTTCTCCCCGGGAGTTGGCCGGAGCCGAAGCTGGAGTCAGGCTCCGTGTCACTCCCCGAACCTGCCAAGGTCAGTGCCATTCGCTCTGGTCCCACCACCTGTTCCCAGGTACAGGCAGGGGACCCGTCCCCATGTCTGACCCCAGGCTGTTGTAGGTAAGACCCCCGCCTGCTTTGTTTTTTACTGCTGGATTGTGTTTTGGATGCTTTTTCTCTTCGTTTTTGAAAACCCCTTTAAGTGTATTCCGAGTTAAGAGCGTGGGGGTGGGGTGTGTAGAGACATGAACAAACAGAACTCGAAAAGGCATTGCTTAGGAAATAGAGCAGTGCAAACACAATTGTCATTTCCCCGAAAAAGCATTGTTAATCATTTGTAACCTTTAAAAAAAAAAAAAAATTCAAGTGGGGTATTGAAGAAACTTGCGGTAGCGTTTTTTTGGTAACTTTGGGATTTAATTTTATTGATGTTTTATATTGTTAGTGGGAGAAATTTGTTGGCTGCTTTCTCAGTGAGAAGGTCTCTACTCTTTAAAACAAGGCACAAAAACAAGTCTATTTTGGGGGCCGGGCAGGTTGACATTTGGGAAGAATGGGAATGGCTGTAAGCTGATGCCTGCCTGTGTTCTTGCATTTGGGTCTTTGGCCAATGGGCTGGAATGATTTCTCTTCCTGGCTCAATAAAAACTAACGCGAGGCCATGTGAACTGTACGAGCTTTGTGTCTCTAGTGCCCTCTGAGAAAAGGTAGAATCCAGGGAGAATTTTATATTTATTATCACGTAAGTACAGCAAAGATCTTCAAGTTTTAGGAAGGAAAACGAGGCGAACGCCTGCTCACCAGTATCTCTGGGTTTGGGGCTGTGGGTTGATACGCGTGGGCGAGTGACTTGTTCGGTTCCCCAGAGGAGTCATATGTGCTCAGTGCCCAGGGTCTCACATTACAGAGGGAAGTGGCCAGTGATCAGAATCTCCGCTTTCTTCAGAAAAATGGCCCGGATTGGGGAAAGCCCCCTGGAAAAAAGCCCCTGAGTGTGATCTCAGAGCACAAGGGTATTTTCTAGGAAGTTCCTTGTATTTATTCCATTCATGAGTACAGCCAGCCTGTTGTATGAGTGAGGGGACACGAGTTTACCTGCTGATCGGGAGGAGCCCCGTGGCCCTGGCTTCTGTCTGTCTGTTTGCTGCTGTGGATGAAGCCAAATAGAAATCGAAATGGGGAAAACACACACTTCTGGTGAGAAAACACACCCCGAGAGCAGCGGTCGCAGGCCTGTGGGAAACGGCTTGTACACGAATAAGTCAAGCCAGTCAAGTGTCAGTAATCACTGTTTACCGTTGAGACTGGCCAGTGCTTGCCAAAAAGCCGTATTATCAGCTGATGGGTAAAGGATAGCAAGGTCATACCAAAAATCACATCCCCAAGTAAATAAATAAATAAATAAATAAATAAACAAACAAATAAATAAATAAATAAAAAAGCAAAACAAAACAATAGCAACAACACTAAAACGTCTGCTCCGGTTCACCGTGAAATATCTTGGTCAAGGAAGGCTTAGTCAGATTTTTTAATTTAATCACGTTTTCGAAATACAGGCCTGAGTTCGGTTCTTGGGATTTCCTTGCCGGCTTTTAAACTGCTAGTAAGATTATATAATTACAGGGTCAAAGAGAGGAGAGATTTATAAAGGTTTGTTTATAGAAATACAACTTTCCTAAATCTGAAGTAGACCCTTGTGCATGTCACAGTGCCCTATTAGGACACTATATGTATATGTGTATGTGTATGTATATGTATATGTATATGTATATTTATTTATATACGTATACACATACGTATACGTATATAAATAAAAGGCTAAGTGACCAACTGTTTGTCTCATCAGCCGGCTGGCCGGCACATGCCATACTCTGGCAATTTAAAAATAAACATTGACTCGCGCATGCGCGATACATATAAAGCCCCCACCAAATTTCTTAATAGTATTACTCCTTCAGGTATGCCATGTCATAAATTAAAATTGAAAGTAGGTGCAATCATCATGCTAATGAGAAATCTGAATAGGGCATGGGGACTTTGTAATGGTACTAGATTTATTATCAAAAGGTTTCAACCTAACACCATCGAAGTTGAAGTATTAACGGGACCCGCGGAAGGAGAGGTTGTTCTGATTCCAGGAATTGATTTGTCCCCGTCTGACACTGGCCTCCCATTTAAATTAATTCAAAGACAGATTCCCGTGACACCAGCATTTGTGGTGACTATTAATAAATCACAAGACAAACTCTATAGACAGGGTAGAAATATTCCTACCTGAACTCTTTTTCAGACATGGCCAGTTATATGTTGCTTTCTCTCGCGTTTGAAAGTTAAAGTTGTAAGTACTTCATCACAAGGGAAATGAGTCAAGCACTCTGAAAGTGTTTTTACTCAATTTGGTGTACAGGGAGATAGTAGAATGAGTTTAAATCAATTTATCAGTCATTGTTTTTATCCACGTCTTTAAATCACGTTTTTGTTGTTTCTGTATCATGTCTTTGTTATATCATGTTATTACTGTTTATCAATTATATGTTTTCACATACACTCTACTGATTTTCTTTCATCTCTGACACTTCTATTATAAAGGGCGAATAGCAATATTAAAATTAATATTAATTTTAATTAATTTCCTTTCAGTGTGCACGGATTTGTGCACTGGGCCTCTAGTTTAATATAACCGTTCTTTGGTGAGAAGCCTCTCTGCTTCTTGGTGTGTAGGTTGCCTTCTCTCTGCCAGAGCGGTAGCATGACCAGGTTAATAACAACCGCAGGAAGTTTTCCACGTGAAATTGAGATGACCGTTCCACTTGTGTTTGGATTATTCAAGGTGAATTTTGACTGTTCGGTCATCAGTCCCCTTCAAAGAAGTGCCAAAGCCTAAATTTGCTTCAGGCATTTTAGTGAGTCCTTCCTGTATTTGCTTAACCATATGGTGACCAAGTAACCACCATTGTTTGGTCTGTGTTGAGCATAATTCTAGAGAAGACATGTAAAAACTTAAAAAAAAAAAAAAAAAAAAAAAAAAAAAAAAAGGAGAAGGAATTGCTATTTGTGATTATGTCTTGATTTGGGAAGAAACCAAAGTTAAAACCAAAAATAGTTTAGTAGAACAGTCTTTTGCAGTTCTGGATAAATGAGTGTATGTAGTGTTTTTTATTAAAAAAAATATTTTTATTCATTTCAGAAAGGAAGAGAGAGGGAGAGAGAGGTAGATGAGAGAGAATCATCGATTGGCTGCCTCTTGCACGCCCCCACACTGGGGTTTGAGCCGGGAACCCAGGAATCAAACCATGACCTCCTGGTTCATAGGTCAACATTCAACCACTGAGCCATTCTGGTCTGTGTAATGTTTTTTTTTTAAAGAAAGACTCTTCTCAAAGGCTTTACTTTGGTGCTTTCTTTGTTGTCCCGTACAAATGCAAGCATCTCTTGCCTCTTGGATGACGGTCAAGGTCGACCCCCTAGCTTCAGCCGTTAAGCTGTTACCTCGGAGCATATTAAGTCAGCAGCGCACTACCTCTGTCATGAAAAGTCCGTGGTGAAAGCAAGTTCAATTGGACCTTCCCTTACCTACAAACCTATAGGCAAGCCAGGGAGAACCATGTCATAAAGGAATAGCTCAGCATAGAGTCAGAGATGACCCCCACTTTTCCATGTAGCCCCAAAGCACGAAACCCCGAGCACGTTGTGCACATAGGAAGGCGCAGGAGTCAATCTTTCAGATGCACTTTGTAACCCTCGTGTCCTCCTCAGACATGCCAGACACCAAGGCTGATGACGAGATGGACTTCCTGATGGATCCCAGGCCAAGCTCAGCTTCGGAGGACGTGGCTGCAGGCGACACAGCTGCTCCTTCGGGGACGGGACAGGGCCTGAAGACGCAGGCGGTGAGTGGCCTCGGATCTTCACCAGCACAAGGCCTGGCTTATGGGTCTGCTTTACGGTCTTGTTTTTCTGTTTGTGGGTTTTTTGTTTTGTTTTTTTTTTTCATGGTAGTGCCTTTCCCCTTTCTCGCTTGTCCCATGACGTATACCCGTGGAAATGCATGCAGTAAGCCTTCATACGTGGTGTGTACCACAGGCAGAGGTCTGTAACGGGCCTTCCCGAGTGGATCCCTTGGAGATGGTAATGGAAAAGATTTTACTTTCCCTGCGAGCGCAAGACCTTTCGGTTTGTCATCGAGTTGAATGTGTCACAAAATGAGAATTGCCAAAGGGATGTTAGCTCTAAAGCCGATCCTTTCTTTTTCTTTATATAGAAACTGATAGCAGCAAAAAAGAGATTTTAACTTACAGCTCAATATTCTATCTGCAATATGAAGTATGTCGATTTTAGTGATGAAAAAAATGTTTAGTAGGTGTGCTTTGTGTTTTTTTTTTTTTTTTCATAATAGCTCTATTGAGATATTATTTCTTCTTGCTAATCCTCACCCAAGGATATTTTTTCAATTGATTTTCTTAGAGAGTGGAAGGGAAGGAGGGAGGGGGAAAAAGAGAGAAACATTGATGTGAGAAAGAGAGACATTGATTGATTGCCCCCCATGCATGTGCCAACTCTGGGCTTCTTTAAAGCTATGAATTTTCAAAATAAGGAACTTCAACTTGTTTTTTTTTTTAATTTAATTTTTTAAAAATATATATTTTATTGATTTTTTTTTTTTTTTTTTTTTTTTTTTTTTACAGAGAGGAAGAAAGAGGGATAGAGAATTAGAAACATCGATGAGAGAGAAACATCAATCAGCTGCCTCTTGCCCATCCCCTACTGTGGATGTGCCCGCAACCAAGGTCCATGCCCTTGACCGGAATCGAACCTGGGACCTTTCAGTCCACAGGCCGATGCTCTATCCACTGAGCCAAACCGGTTTCTGCTGGAACTTCACCTTGTAGAGAGAAACATTGCTTTCCATTAGAGATCCCACGTGGCTTAAGAAAAACAAAAACCTTTCGGAAACTGAAAATCAAGTTACCGCACTCAATTCCATTGCCTCTCAGATAACCAGTCCTCCCTGTCTGGACCAGAGGGTGCACTGGTTTTGTTCTTCAGAGGGCCAAGTGGTAGATCTTCTTAAAGCACCATTAGTAGGTAAACAGCCCTGTACCCTCCCAGCCTGTTTCAAGTGTCAGAACTGTGATAAACAAGCCTGGTTTTAGTGGAGGGAGGTGCTGACTGTTCCGTCCAGCTCCTTATTGCAGATAATACGCATGACTAATGCCTGGGTGGCGTTTTGTCCCCAGGGAAAGAAAAGAGAACACACCCTGCATGGGTAGGGTACACGAGCCTTTGTTTCCAGAAGCCCCTACAAAAAGAGAAGGAACAAACTCATATCCTTGAATTCAAGTGCCTGTTTCTCAGTCCTCCATCTCAACAGGGCAGTGGTTAGAGCACAGCCCAGTTCTTGCTTTTTCCCATGAGCGATGTCTCCATTATGATGTCATCTTGTCCATTATAAAGCAGAAGACAAAAACATTTTTAAAAATAAAAAGCTCCCTCGTCTCTTTCCTGTTCTCTCGTTTTAGGCATTGAGAAAGATAATATTCCTCTGGTTGGTCAGTGTGCCTCATCCTATATAATAAAAGCCTAATATGCCGAGATCGGCCAAATGGCGGAATGACTGGTTGCAATGACACACACTGACCACCGGGGGCAGGCGCTCAATGCAGGAGCTGCCCCCAGCCTGTAGGCCCCTCCCTTCCATTCTCTAAAAATCAGTGGAAAAATATCCTCAAGTGAAGGTTAAAAAACAAACAAAAAACAACAACAACAGAAAAAGCTTTATTTATAGACTCTAAAATTTGAATTTCATATAATGTTCATGTGTTACAAAATACTCTTTTTTGGATAATATTTTTGAGACATGTAATAATGTAAAATCCACTTTTAGGTTTTGTCATAGGCTGTACACAAAGCAGGCAGTGGGTTCCTAGACTAGAGAATATTTTCAGCATCAGTGGCTGAAAATAAAGCGCCAACGGTCTTGTTTTCTATATCGGTCATCGGTTTCGTGGTGAGCGCTCTAGTCACTGACACCAAGCAGGAAGGCAGAGCTCCCGTCCGTGTCTCTCCAAACTAGCCTGTGACTTAGCTTCTCCACAGCTCAGTGTCCTCCTCCGTTTCTCCTCTCGCTCTAACCTCTGGGATCTGTTTGCAGCCCGAAAGGATTGCTGGAGCTTGTGGTTGCAGTTGAGGGTGGAGTGGCGTTTGTTTAATATTATTTAATCCGATCTTTCTGACACATGCCCAGGCCCTGTGTTGGCCTTGGGAACAGGCCAGTCCTTGCTTCATCGAATCATTGTCACTGAATCAACCTCTTCTGAAGGTAAAACAGGAAGAATTTGTGTATCTTGTGCTCTGCAGGTGCATTTACGGCCATTTTCTAGCATATGTCAACAAGGACTCTGTTTTAAATTCTTCTAGAAGTCTCCCTGTTTGGTAACCTTCTCAACGTACTTACTGTCACTAGACGGGAACCTCGGTTGAGCGTGGCACACTACGGAATATTTAATGAAAAGTACGATTGAGTTCCTGTTGGCTTTGGTTCGGTTGTCTGATACCTGTCACACAACCTGAGGAGTGATTTTTTTTTCATCCTTAACTCACCTTACTTGTTGTGCTATAAATGGGCTCATACTTTAGAGGCTAATGATGCTGAAAAGCATGATTCATGAAGGAACTGGGCAATATTCGACATCATCCCCTCTTACACACTTCGCTGGTTGGAAGATCTGTTCTGTTCTGTTGCCCCTCGGCGAGTTAATGTATATCAGGCGCTGAGCCTGGCCCAGTGAGGACAGCGTGGCATCAGCCAGTGTCACAGCTTCAGAGTCCAGTGTTCTTTTCACCCACTTAAGTAACCAGTGGCCTGAGGTGGTTCCTGGAACAACCGAGACTCAGTTCCTGCTTGTTGGACATTATTATAAAAGCTGCAGTAATAGCCCTAACCAGTTCGGCTCAGTGGCTGGCGCATCGGCCTGCGGACTCAAGGGTCCCAGGTTCAATTCCGGTCATGTACGTTGCTTGCGGGCACATCCCCAGTAGAGAGTGTGTAGGAGGCAGCTGATCGATGTTTCTCTCGTCAATGTTTCTAACTCTCCCTCTCCATTCTTCTCTGTAAAAAATTAGTAATATATATGTATTTAAAAAAAGAAATAGTGATAAGGCTATTAATTTTTTTTTTAAAAAGCTGCAAGAAGAGCATCAGACCTTAATTTAAGATGGGAGGCTGGGAGGGCCCCCCCCCCACACACACAGACATTTAGAATTTTAATGAACCTGAATGATTATCTGAAGTTCAACTCCTTTACCTTCAAGGAGAGGCAGTGAATTCAGATGGGTTTAGTGGCCCGCCCCATCTCACTAGTTCCCTCTGTAGATTAGATTCACTTCTGTGTGAGCACTGTTCCTACTCGGCATACTGTGGTTCCCAGGAGAGCCATCCTTAGGGGCCACTCTGGGGAGTCCAGGTCACGTGGGTGGGCTTCAGCATTTTAAACAAGTGCCCCTGACTCAGGCTCATCTACACCGAAGTTGCTTTATTATTATTATTAATATATTTTATTGATTTTTTTTAACAGAGAGGAAGGGGGGGAGAGAGAGAGAGAGAGAGAGAGAGAGAGAGAGAGAGAGAGAGAGAGAGTGAGTCAGAAACATCGATGAGAGAGCAACATGGATCAGCTGCCTCCTGCACACCTCCCACTGGGGATGTGCCCGCAACCAAGGCACATGCCCTTGATTGGAACCGAACCTGGGACCCTTCAAGTCCGCAGGCCGACGCTCTATCCACTGACCCAAACCAGTTTCGGCCACACTGAGGTTCTAAAACCATTCCATCCGCCTCCCATGCTCTCGGTGAAAGCTGGAGAAATTCCATTCGCCACCTCAGGACCAAAGCTGACTCATTTTTAAACAAGTCTCATGTTCTTAACTCTAATATGGTTAGCTTTCAGCAAAATACCACCAAGATGGTGTTTGTCCAAAGAGTTTGCTTTTGGTGCAGAAATTAAGATTTTTCCAGATCTGCCTTTGGTTTTCGAAAGAATGAGACGACTAGGTACAGAGATGACATTGAACCCTTCCGTCCACAACAGAAGCCCTTATGGATCCTTCACCTTGAGCTGTGCTCCGCGGCGGCCAGGAAAGAATTCCGTCTCCTGCTTCCTTCCCCAAGTCCCCATGCTGCAGCCCGCATGCTCCACGTCTCCTGTGAACCTTCTCTTCCGCGTGTGGCCAAGTTCGTTGGACGGAACTTGCCTCCCTGGGGTACCCGCTCATTGATGTATCTCTGTGATAATCCCTTTTCCACATGCTCATCGCATAAGCTGATTAGCCATTGGGACAGTTAATTCAGTAAGCCGGTGCGTCTTGTCAGGATGCCCGTGGTCCCGGCAGCCAAATCCTCAGGAGCAAATGTGTCCAAACACAACTCGAAAATCCCATATGTTGAGTTGAGGATTGGGTTCCTGGGAAAGTCTAGTCTTCGTTTAAGAAAAGCATGCTCTCTAAGCAAGAAAGCATTTTCCATCAGAACCCTGCCCCCCTCTTTATAGCTTCACAACCATACATCAAAGTCACTGAATTTCCATTCGTAATAATTATTATTATTTTTTAAAATATATTTTATTGTTTTTTTTTTTACAGAGAGGAAGGGAGAGGGATAGAGAGTAGAAACATTGATGAGAGAGAAACATCGATCAGCTGCCTCCTGCACACCCCCTACTGGGGATGTGCCCCCAACCAAGGTTCATGCCCTTGACTGGAATCGAACCTGGGACCTTTCAGTCCGCAGGCCGACGCTCTATCCACTGAGCCAAACCAGTTCCGGCATTCGTAATTATTTTTACAACAGCATTAATACTTGTCTCTTCAAGGTGGTGATGAGGATACGGTTGGA